ATGTTTTCAAAATAAATGTTCATCTCAAGAAAGCCCTTAACGGATTCAAATGTAGTGAGGTAATAAGATCTTATTCTTGTGCATCGCTTGTTCCCGTCGTCAGCCTTAAGATAATTTTAAGATGCATTCAAATTGTGCTTCAAGTATATAAATGGAATAAGTGCGAGGATTGCACATTGCTATTTCTTTAATCACACTGGGGTACATTGGTGGGTTGGAGTCGGGACAGTGTTTGAGTCGGTTTAATGGGTGATGAAGACGAAATACCTGATTTCAGACCAGGCAAGGTTCGTCAAGGTTTTGGCAGTTTTGATTGTTTGCAAAGTGCGAAGTAGTGGGGAAAGGTTTTTTGCCTTTTAATTTCACAGTGATTTCCAGGAGTAGGGTTTTTTATCAACATCTCACTGTGCTTAGTTTTGTCGTTTTATATTTAAAATCTTCCTGCGCAGCGGTCATTGCTGTCGGGAATATTTAATGAATAATATATTTTGAGTGTCACATTTTAATACTTTATCGTGTGTGTTCGATTATAGGGAACTCAGAAGATAACTCGTTACTAAAAGAAGTGAGAGCGGAGGAAGTCGTTGGAATGTTATATATCTTAAGAGTGTTAGGATAGAATGGTGTCACATAATCAGGATGGTCACTATTATGGCTTCATCAGTGATGTAATTACCCTAGCGAAAGATAGGCTATGCCTTCTGCACAAATTTTATTCAGAGTGACCAACATTCATACATACATTTTGATACCATACAAATTAGGTTATCCAAGGACAATGGAAGATCATGGAGAAAATTGGAGCAGGTGGTTGTGGTGCAGTTTATGAAGTTGCTCATGTTAAACGAAAAAATTTTACGGCAGCACTCAAAGTAATTTGTTTTTCCTACCACAGTGCAGAATTTTAGAGAGAGTGAAAAGTTTTGGGAGATGAAACGAAGCCGCAAAGTTCTTCAAATTATCAAAGTGCTGAAACATCGTTGTTGAGGATGACTTCGCCACATATTTTCATTTAATTGACCTAGAACTTTAAGGTCGAATCAACAACTTTACCGGATGGAGGTGTATTGAAATTGGAAGCTTACGTTTTAGGAAAGTTGAGTAGCGCCTCAAAAAATACCATTCGTCTACTACATTGTGGAAAAAGGCCTAAATACAGGTTGTTTTTAGTTCGAAAAAATAAAGGATTGTGTTACGTCGAAGATCAGGCCTAGATCGACCATAAGTCTGTATTTAACTGATTTTCGGAAAAAGATGTGAGATTGAAGAGAAACTCTTGAAATAGACAAAGCTGCTAAGCATATCTGTATTGTCTACGTCCAATGAAGAGATTTATCTTTTGTCTAATTCTGCAACAGCGCTTCATGGATATGTGGTTCATCTAAGCCTTTCTTTCTCTGGTCTTTCTGTTTGCAATTTTAGAACAGAACAGGACAGTCATTGCTTAGAAATTTTTGAAATCTCTGGAACAAGCTGAGCGGATACAGCAGTCCCTTCCATCACATGCTTTTCTTACGACATCTCCAATTACGCCACTTTGTGCAGCTTTCTTTGGAGCTTTTTAGTAAAGTTCTATTTGCGAGAATTCGATAGAATGTTGAATTGGTTAAACCACAGTATATGATTTTGGATATTATATGGTCCATCATATTATGTCAATTGAAATAAAATTTACTTCGACATTTACTTGAAATCTTTAGCAAATGTGCGCTAATATTCTTGTTTGTGAAGGAATAACTGAAACTAAATGTTCAATATATAAATGAATTTATTATATTTAACAAATTCAGTTACTTTTCCACTGTGAAGATTTTGATAGTTTTTAAAAAGTTCATTTTTCGGGAATGAACGATTTTCAGCACTTTACAATCTTAATGTAATTTAGTGTATTTAGTGTTGTTACTGTTTTTCGAGCATATGTAATTGCATTGAATATGCAATTTTGGAGTTAATTCCAATGCTATCAGAGTTAGTATTAAGAAATAGCATATGATAAAAAATGGGAACTGAACCTTCCCGACCTGTGCAACCTTTCTACAAGGGGTCAGTAGATTATGGTACCTGTGCTAGATTGTATGAAGATCTCTAGATGCTTTTTTCTGAGAATTTGCAGCTTCATCGTGATGACATTGTGCGGTCCAGATTTGATGTTTCTAAGAAAAATGAAAGGTATCAACAAAATAAAACGAGATGATGATCATTTCTCATTTGAAACAACTTTACGCATCGCAGTACAATGCCTGTTCGCTATTAAAATGGTAATTTCCATTTAGCTGAAAGTATATGTAATTATCAGTGGCAGGTAACTGCTGAAGGATTTCTCAGATTTGACAAGTTCATCTGACCATCTCAGCATTATGTTCACTATTTTTAGCTTTTAGCTTCACGAAATTGGTTTCGTCCATCGGGATGTCAAACCAGGTAATATGGTAATTGGCATAAATGGACGGGATTGCAGAACCATTTTCATGATTGATTATGGTAACCCATAGTTTATTTACTTACGCAGAATCTTTAATTTCAAGTTTGCAGAATCATCTAATTGAAATTTAGACAATGATCAATCAATAGGTATGGTAAGATCATTTGTTCTGGAGGATACTACTACACGAAAAGTTGTACTACGAAAACCTAGGAAACGCGTTTTGCTACGAGGTACATTACGGTATTGCTCGCCGAATGTTCATCGACGTATGGAACAGGTTAGATATGTGAATATTTAAGCTCCTTCCAGCTTCTGATATCACATCTCTTCATATTACAGTAAGCCATCTTTCCTTAATGTTAGATATGCATTCATGGACTGACCTGACAACTGTGCAAAGTTCTTATGCGCTATTATCTTGATTGGAGTGAATTCCAGGGAAGAAATGATGACCTGTTGTCCCTGCTTTACATGCTCATCGAGCTATGTTCTGGTCTGCCATGGAATACGATCAAAGACGAGAAGGTGTTACTGCAAATGAAAGAAGGAATTACAACGGACAAGCTTTTTAAGGTAATTAAGTGGACGATGTTGTCATTTTTCCTCCATCATCTTTAGAAAAAATTTCACAAACTTGCAGTTTTTTCTTCAAAAGATAATAAAACTAAAAAAAGATATAATTCAAAATTAAAATATTGAATATGGCTGATGTTTCCAAACTGGTCGAGTTAATGTTTGGCAACGCAGTAATTTCAGCATAGTTTAATTTGTAGAAAACTCCAATTGAATTTACACCAATTTATGATCACTTGATGACACTGGAATACAAAGATCGACCGGACTACAAATTTATATATGATCAGGTTAAATGGTTAATATTTTCGATTCTCATCATATAAATTCAATTTGAAATGAGAGAAGGAGAAATTATAACTCGTAGTGATTTTCACAAGGAAAGCGTAAAAGGCAGATATATTTTGAAACCGAATAAAATGAGATACAATATTTAGTGATCCTGGAATCTTGAGCTTTTTTAATCTTGAATATTCTAGTGGAAATGTTTGCTGCTTGAAAACGGTACAGCAAACTGAGTAAAGAGTATGGGGCTTGAGATGGTCAATTGCAGTTCATGAAAGGTATTCGACGACTGGGGACACGCTTTGTGGATGCGTATGATTGGGAGGATGACAAAGACATTCGAGAAGCTATGCAGCTGCAGACGGCTCTGTCATATCATGAGGAGGATGGGAGAAGAAGGGAGAGTAGAAACAAAACGGAGAAAAGAAAGGGTTTCGATGGTAATTGTTGGATGAAGTGAATTGGAATGAAATAATTGTTAACTGTGAAAGATAGGTGATGAAATTTTCACAAAAAGCTGTCGAGACAATTTGTCAATTTTACGCTTTTATACCAATCAGTAATCATCAAGAAGGTAAGAAGAAGGGAAAAAGTGATAAACTCCGAAAAAAAAAAATCGTTCCTATTTCAAATTCATGACTCCTGAAAATATATTTCAGTTCTTTTGCAGATCCATATTATCTCGATTTTCGATATTATCCGACAACCGATCCAAAACATTTCGAAGAAAAATTAATACCAATATGAACTTGAATATTTTAAAAGTCGTCGTTATTGTGATACGCTTGCACACACACATACGCACACACATACACACACACATATTCACACACACACACAGGCACACTTTTTGAAATAGCTGCCAATGATTGAAAAGCTATATATATATAGCGCAAAAGGCTATCACAGAAATCCCTCAAAAACATGAGTAGATAACTTTTCACTCATGAAATTTGTGAATATTGCAAGTTTTCTTTTTTAATTCCTTTCTCAAGACGGGTGAATTGTAAAAGTTCTGTTATACAGTTTGTATCGTAGCATTGGTATGTGAAAGTTGCATAATTCCGGAATAAGGAATACTGTAAAAGACGACTTACAAGTGGTTGGCTAATGTCAAAAGCAGAATATAAAAGGTTTTAGAAGAAGAATTCTGGAAAGTCTTTAGGATGATTCGATTATTACATGAGAAAATGGTTTTTTTCATTCGGATAATTTCATGCTAAATGTTGAATGGTATGGAACAGCGCGTGAAATTACTTTAGTCGTTGACGTGAATAATATTGTCCCACAGTTCATTTCTTGGACTATTTATTGATAGTACAAAAGTCGCAAATTAAAAAATCACTGAATTTAAAATCAATAAATGAAAACAATAGGTTGGTAGTTTAATGCTTAAGTCACTTGAATTTAGTAATTGCTATTTATTAAATGCCTTACATACTATAATGTAAAGAATGGGAGCTCATTTTCCTGTTTAGTTCTATTTCATCTTCATAGTAATTTAACGGACGTTTAAAAATTTCACTTTGGCAAAGTTTGCTATGGTCATATACTATTTCAATAATCATATTAAAATACTCAAAGGCTAAAATGTGTGCCTGTCTGTCTGCGTATGTGTATATGTCGAAGTTAGCATGACGGAAAATCATTGCATGTGAAATTGTAATATTTGAAAACTTCATGGAAATATGAGAGTGATGAAACCAATGACCCTATTTAAAAGTGGAGGCTAAAGTCCTCGAGAAATAAATGGATACTGGCTTACTATGGTGTATATTAGGATGGCTTTTTACAATGTATAATACAACACAGTCAATGTAATCATTATTATAATGATTATTATCATCGAAATGAATCACATTGCTAGCATTAGCCTTTTACTTGATTTTACGAACTAATTCGTGTCAAATTCAATTTAATTTAAGTCCCAAATATTACAACTCAATTAGCTTAGCTTTTGTTGGAAAACCGAGAAACTCCATAATATTTTAAATACAACGCTTTTTTTGATTACGCTCTTGTCTTAATGTTGTAAAGATCAGGCATGCCGTTGTATTGTACTGTAACAATATCATATCATCTTGATTTTACATGCCACTCCTTCTGTATATACTGCTATTTATTACTCCAATAATCTTATTCGTTACTGCTAGCATATAATTTAACTGTTTAAATTATTTCCAAATTTGTGGCTGAGTTATTATATTTACTGCAAATAAACCTTTCCACTGGTGGATTTCTCACTATACTAATCAAACAAATTTTTATGACAACTTTTTACATAAATAAACAAAATGTAAGACTTTTAAATGTACGACATGTCACAAAGATGTGTCAAACAGTGATAAAAACCGAAATGTCTCATTGCTCATGCATTTGCATTTGCAAAAAGTTTGTATAAGCTTCAAAATTACAAAACTACTATGAACTGTCTTATTCATAACTGAGATTCATCGACAAAAATTTCAGTGCGATTTATCGCATTGTGTACATTAATTCAATGACATTACTTTGATTCTTCTGCTGGTATATGGGGCAGTTTTTTTAATTGGCTTCAAATTTTCTATAAATTATGATGTGAGTAGTTTTTAACTCACATTCCAAATATTACATTCATTTCAAAATTTCAATTAATTTGAACAAAAAATAAGGCAGATGAGTGGTTGGAATTGAAATGCAAAATGTAGATATCTTCGCGATGTTATAGGAATTATTTCATGCTGCAACATCCTGAAATCAACCTACTGTAATTCACCACAGATTGGTAGATCATATTTCAAAAGCCATTCATCAGTAAATCAACAGTTCAAAATCACACAGAAAATGTTTTTCAGTTTAAAAATTCTCTTTTGATTGAATAGAAGCATTTAAATAATGTACAGCCTTTCTAATGATATGTAAATTCAAATGAAATTTAAAACACTCAACAGCCCGAAAGTTCTATATAATTTTAATAAAATATTGTCCTAAGGAACTCATCGGATTATTTTTGCTCCAGTTTCAATAAATAATAAAAAAAGTTCTTAAAATATCAAGATTGCATCCACTCTTCGTTATAATGACTGTCGTATTGAGTCCATCTGTGTGAATCTGTTCATTCCACTAACCTCAAACAAAGCAGTTTGTTTCATCTGAAAATTTCATTAATTTACTACTCAATAACAATCAAAAGCAAACTTAGCAACTTTGATTAAATGAACAATGAGTTCTTTACTTCTTATTCGCCTCATTTCATTTATAACCTCCGATTCTCAACACTCCGAGTACGTGGAAATGGGCTTAACCTGTTGTAAAGCAACACATATGATGGATATATCCTTCCCAATTATTTCTATTAAAATGCTCAAATTACTATTTACATGATTGATTAAACTTATAAATTAAGCACTGTGCTAAATGGAATAAATAGAAGTCTGTTTTTGATCATTATTTCGCCGAAAACGTTAACTTTTTCTTTTTACATCCTCTTTTATTTATATAGATACAAGCAGTCATAAGAACAAAGCAAGATTTAAACAAATAATGAAGGACTAATTTCAAAATGAACCGAGCATGAGTGCTGTTGTCAGTCATTGGCACAATTTTGAATAGAACATTCCCATCACCACTGCTAGTACAAGTATATGTCTGCAAATAGAATTCTTCCAGCGATAAAATAAGGGGACCTTTCGCAAATCAAGATTAGGAGCGACCAAAATTTTCTGCCTGCGGCTGAAATCGTCCTATCTTCTTACTGATTTCCAAATCTCTGCTACTTATTACAGGATTAAGTGGTGATTGTTATCAGTTACAAAAAGCATTTACCCATCAATATAATCAGTACCCCGTATGGAATTTAATTCCGCAAACATTTGTGCTAACTGATATTGAAATTTTATATTGAAAAAAAGATATAAAAATTCATTTAATACTTGCAGATCTTAGTGTTTTAGACCGGTTTATTTTTAAAACATTCAAAAATGTTTGAAAGATAAAATAATTCAAACGGCAAATAGAAACAAACTGATGAAATGGAGGGGAACGGAAAGGTTGAAAATGTGTAAGAAACCGGTGATTGATATGTATGTCATGGGAAGTGTGCTCGAAAGAACTCACCTTACCATTACGCGAAATTTTCGAATTGAGATGGATAACGAAACCATCGGCGGTACAAGCTTCAACAGTGATTCTAGCCTGTTCATTGCATTTTTTAATAAAATTCGAATCTTCGATCCATCTTAACTCATTCATGATGAATTTAGCATGAATGTAGTAGTAACAACGACAGGTTTTAAATCTGTCGTTGTTACTATTGGATTCAAAAAAAAAATCTGGCTATCATAAAATTTTAACAAATCATTCGTTACGGAGGAGGGTGTAGTAAAAAGTGAAAATTTTGGAACATATAGATTTTAAAAAATTCTGAAAGGAAAAAAACGAACGTTTCGCCGGTTTTCTTTCGCATATCGTTAATAGTGCAGTAATTTTGCTCAATCTTCGGTACGATACGAAAATTTCTCGGAAAATCCCGTGTCAGGGTCACTACACCATTGCTATGCACTGTACAACTAAAAATACTGTTGAAAACTGATTGCAATTCAAATCACTTTGCTTTGAAAGACACCAAGCTAACCTTACAATATTATCTTTTCAAGTAATTAGTGCTTACTGCTTTAGATTTTAACCAAACTACAAGACTTCCATAGATTATTACTTCTTTATGCATTTTCTATTGCGTATTTTTGTTTTCAGATTTGCTTTCAGAACATTATTTGGTGAGAACGACTTTTTAGAAATGACTTCGCCCCACAATACTTTGTCCGCCCTTGTAAGAAGTGAAATCATTGAATAGAAGTAACCAAATATCAGTAATGAAAAGCTATTTCACTATGTATGGTAGTAGGGGTGGTATAATAATGAACGTGTAATAAGTAAATCCTAAACTAGCAATCAATTGACCGTAAAATGCATTCTTAATGGTGAAAGAGTTAATAGATGACAGTTCAGAATGTACAATAAACTAATTGATAGTCCTTCAAACAGATATCTGACAGTTCAACGAGAGGAGCACCCGTTATTATTAGTGGTAATAAATTATAGTAGGAAAACTGTAATTTATGATCACGAAAAGAGTATAATATTCGAATAACCACATATTTTAGCAGGAACAGAAACAAACTTATATCGAGTTCCATTCAGTGCAAGGGATGTGTTTAGTCTAATCGGAATACCGGTGTCCGTTAAGCAATTCACAATATGTGTCCCCGTTGGTGTGCAAGTTTTATTGAAATTCCTTCTACTGATCCACCACTCTCCTGCATAGTTGTTAAATTATGAAATGTAATGCGACAATTGCGAATAGATGCAAAAATGCTTTGAATAGTTGAATCCATAAAAATATGATAGTTGTTCGGAAAATTTCTGTTTGAAGTTGTAAGACAGTGATATGGGAATGCTTACCGAAGTCATGCCCTTCACAACTAATATTTCGAATTACATAATGTTTCTGCATTTGATATCCGCCTGATGGCAGCTTTGCACATTGGAACGTCTAAAGGATTAGATTTAATCGAAGAATAACTTTAAATTCAAAAGCTGAAAAGCTCTGCGTAAAACGAAAAACGATTCTAGTCTGGTTTTCTGTTAAAAACTACTATAAATGTTTAAATATTATGAGAAATTATACAATAAACTACTCATATAATTCCATACAAATCATAGGAAGTTTAAAAAGAGGAAGGGAAGCTGGATTAAAAAATTGAGAATTGATTCAAAAATAGAAATAAAGAAGTATGAAAACAGGAAATTATCTTCATATCAAGTAGGGATCTTCCTGCTCATACTCCTTCGCAATATTTATATCTTAGTGTTCTAAATGCTTCTGTATTCATCATCTTTACATTACATTTCCAATCTTGCTCAATTCTTTCCTATTGTTGTTTAATTAAGTTTAACTAACTTCTTTTCAAAAGGTTGTAATTAATTCCGGAACAATGTCACTATGATACTTTGTGGTAGTTTATATATAAGATATTTCAATCTTTAAGTACTTCCGAAATTTCTCTCCAAAACCCTGCAAACTATAAATTAATTTATGCAGCATTCAAAAGATCAAACGAACCATATCATCCTCTACTATCTCGTCACCATCATGCATTTCGGTACCTTTCGGTGTTTGACATCCGACAACATCAGCTCGCCAGGATCCATCAGGATAAACGTGACATTTGATAATGAATGCTGATCGAACTATCTGAAATCACCTCCGCTCATCTTAATCTCTATGTGATTACAGTTTGAACGACTGCACTCCCGAAATGTATCAAGAGATTTTCGATGCGCTGGAACGAAAACATTCTTTTAAATCAGATAGATGTTTATCGTTTATAGTTTACAAAGGAAATGCTATTCCTTTTATCTAAAATTTAAAATTTGAATTTCACTTACCCATCGATCACCATCGTTATGCTGTTCACCCATATAAGTGCAGACAATGGCATAGGTATCCCTTCCAAAACTCGACAGTAATATTAACAGCAGTAATGATGCTGTGTTAAAGGCGACTGTATTACACATATAAATTCAATTTTAGTCTCAAATTTTAGAGGACGTTGCAGGAAGCTTGCCACCTACCTGTACCCGACAATAATCTATGACGTAGATTTCCGCCGTCTGTGTCGTTTGTATTTGGTGACAGTCACCATTACCATCAATAGAGAGGAAAAAAAGGAACGAAGGCGTGGTTCTAACCAAGCGAGGATTTACTTTTCGTGATGCATTCATTCTCGATGTGTTGCAAGCGCAATTTATTCCCTCATCTAAAGATCTCGTAAAGTTTGAACTTGATACTGTTGCTTGATTCAAGTAATCAAATAATACTACTACTGAAGAATTCATGGTTTATGCTCTGATTGTGACCAGGAAATTAGTCTCTGATTGGTTTGGAAGTTAACTTCCTGATTTGTAGGTTGATTCCACTGGTGAAGAATTTCAAGTTTTAATAAATTTCGGGACTATCAAATTAAATCAAAGTAACTGCTGAGATCTATATCTAAGCAGTCCTGGTAGTTGTTTTTTCTTTGATTTAGGTTGACAACTAGTCCACATTCACATGGAGTGGCCAGCTACAGTAATCAGCAAAACTGAATGTCTCTGTCACTGATCATTCTACGCCGTAAACATTCATCTCAACTTTGGATGATTCTAGTGTTGCATGTGAAAACTTTGATAGATTAATTAGGATTCGTTCAATCGTTTGTAGTTCATGAACTTTGACGCAATTTCCAAAACTGCAATTTTTATGCTTGCCGATCGTTGTTTTTTGTTTCAGAGAATTGGATAATTTCAGATCAAAAATAACATATCCTTGGCTTAAAATATACTACATTGAATTCCCAACTAAAACAAGCATTTAAAGAACCGGATCCAAGACTTTCTTTCAAAGAATGATGACGAGTCACGTCGCATTTATACGATTAATAGAAAACGCATTGGATTAGATTAGAGCATTGACAAAGTTTCTCGAAATTGTGAAATCCAATTTTTCTGCGGTTCACTATCTCAAACCTAAGACTCAGAGCTCCGCTTAATTTTAACATCCTTTCTACACCCGGCCACCATAAACCAGTCAGTTCAAATAACGAAATTAAACATAAGTGCAACTTCCAATAATACAATTGTATTATTCTGCAACCAAGTGATTGGTAGGGATCTCGAATTCAAGTTGAGAATGACGTATGACACCTCAATAATTCCCCTGAAGTACTGCGCATAGAGACAGGATACTCGGATAAGTGGTAGTCTTAGATCTCTATGAAGACCCGAATTTTTTCTCCACAGTCAATTCCTCTCACGTGCTTTAGATCTGAATGAAAAAATACGATTAATTTCGTGATAAACCAAATGAATTATTCTATTCATCATTTACTTTTTAATTGCAATACTGGATTTATAAGTGTGGATAAAGAGGATATCTATAGCTATATATCCAGGCGGATAATTTGCTCCGGAAGGGAATAATTTTGTCAAGCAACCGCTAAAAGACCTATTACCATATTGTAGTAATACAAAAATGATTTACATTTATAGAAATAAATTTTGAATTCACATAATCTTAAAAATTTCAAAAAAAATAATTAAAACGACAGTACTGACTACTCAGCCAAAATAATTATCACAATATGATGAAACATGAAAACAATGTACTTCAATATCACAGTATATATCAACCGGAAGAAGTGAACAGTATAACTCTCCATTAGCAAAAAGTCTAGCAAAAAAACGATCCCACCGATTACAACTATAAAAAATTCGAAAGGCACAAAAGCCATATTTCAATATATATTTCAAATTTTTATTTCAAAAGGAAAATTTTTATTTTTTTTTTTTATTTTCAAATTTTTTTATTTCAATTTTTCTTTTTATTTCAAAAAATTTTTATTTCAAATTTTTATTTCATATTTCAAAAGGCCATATTTCAATTAATCAAAACCATGTATATGTCCATCAACTTTCAAAAAAAAGAAAAATCTAGAAAATTCAAAAATGTTTGCGAAATAAAATAAATTCTGATCATATTTGAAAATATATACAGTGCAGTTAGACAACAAATAAATACTACTAAATGTACTGTTCTAATTGATGATAACTGTAGGCAAGAAAAAAGTTAACAAATATATCACTACAGGTTTAGAAAAAAGCAAGTACCGTCAAAGTATATGACTCAAATCCGAAAATTCGAGACTACCGATGCATAATTTCTTCATAACATGCATTACAAACACGAACCGGATTTCTTGATGACGTAATTTTAGCTGTAAATGATGAACAAGAAGCACAAAATATTTGTCCGCATTGTCTACAGTGATGCTTGCGATTTGTAAGAGTAAATGGTTTGTCACATGCATGACAATTTGTAGCCTCTGAATCTTCCAACCATTTACGTGATATCTGTTTTGCAAAATCCATCTAAAATATTAATAATCTAAAATATCAAAATGTTCTCATTCATGCATCAGCAAAACAAGCAAAGTGAAAAAATTTATAAAGTATTTCACACTTGTTATTTATTTGGTTCAAAACTTCATGGTAAAAAACTGAAGCTACAGCAGTATATTGAAAACTGCTGCGGTCCTTAGGATTGAAAGATGAAATCTGTGAATTCGTCATTTTCAACGAGAAACACGGTTCTTAAATTTAATGATTCAGAAATCAACAAAACAAAATGGCAGGTAGTATAAGAGTTTAACCTGCAAATTTTGATTTACTTGTCCAAGTTCTCGGATAGCAGTCTGAACGTCATCGAAATTCCTCTTGTTTACAATAGCTCGTTCGCGTTCAAATTCAAGATCACTTTCTGCCGTTAAACACCTGAAAATTAAGTAAACATTCCTTATATTTTTTTGCTCAGAAGTTCATCCTGAGTTTTACAGAGTACATGTTAAGATAGAATGATATCTCAGCAACCTTTCTTGTAGCGCCCGTTTTTCTTGTAACCACTCTGTTTTCCTTTTCTCCAACTCTGCAGGTAAATCCGCAATGCAGGAATAGATTAATTTTATAAATAAGCAATAATAATAAGAGAGTATTCTAAGCATTCTTCCGTGCACAAACAGCAATATTAAGGAATCCAGTGAGTCGCATCAGAGAAAAGAAAAACCTACCGCTTTGAATAATCCTTAATTCAATTAAACCTTCTTTGGCATTTTCTAAATCATTTTTCATTTGCTTCAAATTTTCATCCTTTTCCTCATTATCTTTTGAAGCCTCCTTCAATCTACTTTTTTCTGTTTCCAGTTGAACACAAAGTTCCAACAAACTTTCTTCTTTATCCTTCTTACATTTTTCCTGCAAACTAATTTTGTAAAAAATTAAAATTCGGAAGGAAAAAGGGATCGTGCAATATAGTCAGATTCAGAATTCCACAATATAGATCAGATTCTTTTTCAGCAAATTTTATTTTTGAAATCACTTCTAAGTTGGTGGAACAGCCAGATTTGAAACTTTAAAATACGAACCAAACTGTTTTTCAGCAAATCAGTCTCTTTTTCGAAATCATTTCTGAGCTGTAACATGGACTTTTCAAGATGATCCAATTCCTTCCGCAACTGAAATTTTATTTTTTAATTTCTCTCTTTGAAAAATTTTTAGAACATATTTGAATAAAAGCTTTGATTCCAAATACCTCCGAATTTTGCTTCTTTAATTTTAATACTTCATTTTCCAGAACATATATTTCTTCTTCCTTTAAGCGCAATTCATTATGTATCCTTTCCTGTAAATTAATACTTTTATTCATAATGCCAATTTATTTCTGGATTTCTGCTCACAATATTGACTTTTGCAGGAACCACTGCTGGTAGCTGATTCAATTAATAAAAATTTTGTTTCAGTGACATGAAATTCTTTTGCAAGCTATTATGCACGACTATAACTGAAAATACGATTCACGCAGCATATCGAATCTTTTAAAACGCAAAGAAGCTCAACAATATTCATGCTAGCAATCTCCGTGACGAAACAAAGATTAGAAATAACGATTAGAAATAATTTCACCTTCTCTTGCATTAAGTCAAATGACTGCTTCTCTTTCGCATGAAGTTTCTCGTTCAATTCAGAAATTGTTTTCAATTGGGTGACCAATTCCTAGAAGATAGCTTATGTAAATATATATTCTAGAAACGTTTCTCCACCACAGGCACCAAATTGTATCGCTCTGTTAATTTTGTTTAATGAATCTTCTTTTAGCTTGCAATAATCTGGAGCTTCTTTTACTTTTGACTATGTTCTTATTAGGGAGAGACGCTTCTTTCACTCTCCTCTAATTCCATTTCAAAACACATTCTTGATCTATACTCGCGTTCCTAAAGAGATCAATTTAGCTATTATTCGACTTTGCTTAACAATGAGCTTAAAGAAATCTTATTGTTTCATAAAATTTCACAACATGTATCATAAAAAACAAAATGTAACTTTTTCTTTTGCAGTCAATATCGCCGTATTATCCTGTTGCATTTGATTCAATTCACATTGCAAAGCTCTTATGGAATCATCATGATTATGTTTTTCAGATTCCAACTTTGCCACTAAAGTACTGGTCTTTTCTTCTAATTCCTATAAAACTCGAAATCTAAACACGCATATATTCTCTGATTTTTTATTTTTAATTTAATTTAAAAATTAATGACATCTATCAAGTCATGCAAATAAAATCCCTCAACTGGCATTTACTTTACTCCATAATTTAAAATCACGAAGCACATGTTTTTTGAAATCACCTTATTCTTAGATCAGGTTAGAAATTAGAAATTTGCTTTCCACACTAGATTTTGAAGCTTCTATTAAATAGAAGAAGCAAAAAACTTCATCAATTCATGTTTTAAAGAGGAATATTTTTCTACATAAAAACATATATCTGCAATCGATAGTTTAAAGCTTCCGAAAAGGAATGCTGTGTCCACTTTTTTTTTAGTACCTTTACCTCTATTAACAGTTCTTTTTGGCCCATGTTCTCTAGTAATTCAACTTCATTATCTTTATGTCTCGAACACTCTTCCCCCTGCAAAACACTCAGAATATCTGGGATAATAGAAAAAATAAAGTGATTTGAAGAAAAAATAAATCTCAGTATGATTTATAAAGATTGGTTAAGAATCATTAATATTAAACGAATATAAAAAGATTGAAATGTTCTAATATTAAGTGAAGACATAACATACTAAAGCAGAAAACTGCTGCAAAATACTTTCAAGTTGTTCCTTTAGCACACTTTTTTCTTGTTTATATATAGAAATTGCTTTCTGCAATTGGTGAATATTTTCTCTCGAATTTTCCTCCTTTTCTACCAAGTCGTTTTCTAACTGAAATAACGTAGAGTACAACTAATTTTTATTCACAGCCATTCACCATCAGCAAAACCTTTCCAAAAATAAATCAATTTGCATAGAGTATCACATTACTGCTGTAAATCCTAATTAAAAACGATATCACAAGCATTCCAGACTCTATCCCATCACTGAATCTTCTTATTTTCCAAAAACTTGTAAGAAATATTATTTTAGAAGAACAGAATTCCTGGGAAAAGTATCTTTCAACGTTGGCTTTACACAAAGAATAACAGTGGACATACTGCAAGCTGACCCAAAAGTGATCTTGAAATGTGCAAATGAAAGTGAAATATCCAAAACAAACCTGTTTCTTCGCTATTTTCACTTCCTTCAATTCTGATTGCACATCCTTTATCATTTCTTCTAATTTCACACATTGTTCATTACGCCTGATGGCTATGGTTTCTTTTTCACGCAATTCGTTATCCTAATGAACACTGATAAATTCTAATAAAGTTAGGAAATTTCAACAACTCCCAAGCAGACAACAATATACAACAATAATAAATAATTTTATAAAGTCAAATATTTTCTAAAAGTCAAATACGAGAAAGAAATATTGTTCCAGTTTATATTCAGCAATTCGTTAGTTACTACTAATGACTAATCAGGTACAATTCTCCCGTCAACCCCTAATCGAAGTGGTCATATTGTTGACAGTATTCAACAAGCAGAAGCATAACACATAATAAGTGATGACTATGGCGAGTTACCACATGCATTGGGAAACAATGATTCAAAATCCGTATGTAAACATAGTAAATTAAATAGAAATGACCGACCAACTGTCGCGCCTTTTCTTCCACTAGCGCAAGCCTTTCAATAGCTGTCTTCAATTTGACACGTTCTGTTTCGATTATTTTATTCTTTTCATCGGTTATCGTCATTTTTTCTTCTAACACTACCGATAACTAGAACGACTCGCTTTACACAAGATGACAATTAAAGATGGGGAAATATCTCCTAATTTATCACTAAATTAGGTGGACAAATCCTGACCTGAGCACACCGATGCCATTGCGCAGTGCATCTAAAAATACTTTTAGTCCTACGTCTATTTCTTTATGGTACTGTTACGGTTGAATTTCAAGATTTAATTTAAATTGAAATTAAAATGAAGAGTACTACAATACAATGTTATCGAAATAATAAAAACACAATCAGTGCAAATTAGTGGTAACGTGGAACATCATTCAATGGAAAATGGTACATTTTTGAATGCTGAGTCACGGAGCTTATTTTAAACGACAATTTTTTGAATCCCATGCAAAATGTAGTAAAATACTAAGAGCAAGCAAGGGTTAAAAAAAAAAATACAATGTAAAGATTACAAACTTTCTTATTCTCTTTCTCAGCAGAAATGTAGTTACAGCGCAAACTGCTCAATTCATTTTCCAGCTTCTTCACTTTTTCTTTTTCAGCCTCAACCTTTTCTTTCCATCTTTCTTCATGCTGAGATATTGTATTTTTGTGCGAGATATTTAAAGACTTTAAAGCTTTATTTAATTCATCCATTCTTTCCTCAAGTGCCATTTTCTCCTTATGCATTTGTTCTAACGCTAAATTCTCAGCTCCGTTGCCCTCAGAAATCTGCAAAAATATTTTTTGACCAAATTGAAGTCATAAACAAAGTTCAATTACGAAAACATTTGGAACTTGTCTGCCTGCCTTAGAAATGATGAAGACAAGTGGGAAAACCCGTGCAAGAAATAATATTAAAAATCATATGTTATATAAAAGCAACAAACTTTTTGCATCAAAAATGATTCTTTTGCCTTTGCCTTTTTTAAATTCTGCTTCAAAACATCTTCGATTGTGGATGCTTCAGCCAAGGAAGTTTCTAATTTGAAGATTTTTTCCTTCAACTGTTCAACTTCTTTTCGATATTCAATTATTGTTTCTTTGTCTTTAATCGTTTGCACTTCCTAAAGAGTTGCTGCGGTTATTTATGTAACAGAACCGAAATCACTTTCGAAAATTTGATAAAAAATTATTTATCTGGTTATTATTTATCGGACTTTTTCGGCATAATTCTGCTTTTGTTCATCGAGCATAGCCGTTAACAACACGATTTCGTGCTGTAAATTCATGTGCTGTTTCTCCATCTGGAAAAAATGCATCAAGATCAATACAATATTGCTAGCATAATGAAAAAAAAGACTTAAAAATAAATTTAAATGGATTTCTTCAGCTCTTTCTAACGCATGCATATTTTATCGTAGCTCTTCCCTTTACCTTTCATTTTCTTGCAAACCTAAATTTAAAAAAAAAATGATTGAAAGAACAAAAAAAAATAATCACTGTCTACTTCAAATAATTTTTACCGATCACACAACTCAATATCAACAAAATATTTCGAAATCATTATCGTCGCCGATACTACCTCCAATAAAGATTTTTTTGAATCTTCAAGTTCCGAAAATTTATCCTTTTCAATTCCATTATCTATGATTTTCGTTCGGCATTTATTCACAGTAATTTCTAAGTCGCCAATCTTCTTACAAACATCAAGGATTCTTTCAGCTGAATTTGCTGCTTTTTCCTGTAATTGAAACTTTAAATAATCGACAACGTTGGAAAGCATACAAATTAGATAAGTAACATACTTCCCAAATTTTTCTAAAAGCGTCGATTTCTTCTACAAGTTTTTTAGATCCACCGTCAAATCTGAAATAATTCTATACTTACATATGAAGTCGAAGGCCTCAAAAATTTATAATATAATCACTAAAACGACAGGACATTAACTTATTATTAACTCACTTGGCAATCGTATTCTTGAGGATTTCAATACTACTTTTTAGAATTTCAATTTCACAAGTTGACCTGAAAAATATAACCAACAAAATGACAAGACGTGTTAATTATCTTCCTAACAAGAACCCCATCTTACAAACATTTCTTTAAATATTTTTCACGCAACGATATAAATTTAGTATTTAAATTAAAGTAGCTTACTTTTTATGGTCTTGCTCCATATTACGTATTGTATCGATACCTTTCTTAATTTCTTCCTCTTTCTCTTGTGTTATTGTGTCCATCAGCTGCTGTGCATGCACCAGTTCTGTCCTAAGCACGCTGACGTCATCCTCTGATGGTCTGAAATAAGTTAAATAAAATACGAAGAAATGACAAACCTATTGCATGATTATGTGCAAAATCATGAAAGATTTTCAAAGATTACAATTCACCTTTGGTCGAGTTTTTTTCGTAATTCTTCAATTTCCACTTCCAAATTTTGTATCTCTTGCCGATAGCGCACCAACTCATCACCCAGAACGGTTTTTTCCTTATTTTTCTCTTCGATTTCATCTGTTTTGTTGGCAACATTCGTCGTAAGTTCTCCAATTTTTTTGATCAACCTACTTTTTTCCTGCTTCAATTGTTCAATCTGCCGGCTCATTCCACTTTTTTCTTTCTCCATTTCAAGCATTCGTTCCGTTGCTAGAGATGAAACGTAATCTTTTTCAAAATACAAGGTAGCCCTTTCGAAAAAAATCAAAAAAAAATAACCTAATGCTTTGCCAGCTTCGAGCATCTGCACTTGTTGTGTAAGATAAGGTATTTCGTCCTAAAATTTTGATAGAATTTATCAAAAAAAAGAAAAGCGCAAATAACATACTCCCTCTAGAAGATAACGAATAACATACTCTTTGGTTCCTTTTCTTATCAATTTTCTGGTTCTTTGTTGGTTTTTATGTTGATTTTTTCTGCTTTTATTAAGGGTGTCAGTATCCTTTTGGTAGTTGGTTACCTAAAGCTATAGCTGCTTCTACTCCTGTAAGTTGTTTGGTTCATAGTAGTACTTTTGTTACTGCTGGGGTGATGTTGATGGATAAACAAAATTAAACGTGCCATAATTATGTTATTTACACACCTCAGATCTTTCTGACTGATCTAATTATGTTATTTACACACCTCAGATCTTTCTGACTGATCTGCGATAAGACCATGCAACCTATTCAGCTCCTTCTTCAGTTCCAATGAATAGCGCTTCTCATCTTGCAATTGTGATTTAAGTTCTTTCATAATCAATTCGAGATGAACTACATCTGATTCATTAAAACCATTCCCTAAATAAAATACCTTTACTGTGTTATTGAAACAAAACCGAGTTCCGATTCTGTATTAGAGTCATACAAAAAATGTCTTTTGTAAAAATATTCAAATGTTTTTAACGGAAGCAAATAAACGCACCAAGTGAACTAAATGAGGAGGAAACACTGACTTTTTGCTCTCCGACCTGAAAAACGTAACACTTCATTAAGAAATGAATTGAACTGAAGTAGCCCTTGGACGGTTCCTTGCTATTATAGTTCCTAGACTACTATATCTGCAAGAGCGAATTGGAATAAAGCAGCATATGAAATTAATTACTGCAAGTAAACATATTTGATATTATTAACCTGCTTAATTGCATGCACTTGAAAATGCATCTGCAACTCATCTGGAGAAGAAAATGAATGCATGCATACGGGACAGAGGAATCCTTCTGAAGATGTGCCGCTTTCATTAAACAGTGGTTCATCTTGAGGCTGTAAAATGACCATCTATTTCAGTACAACTTTGCTATATAATCTTCCATATAAGAAAGTCAAGAAGACTCAGAGAACGATCTGTTACAAGATTAATCATTCACTGAATCTCCCTAGCCAATGGCATAACGATATTTCTATTCGCCATATTTCTATCTCATCATCTTAATCGCTTTCTACGACACGATGTGCGTTTAGCTAATGAGAAATTTAATCGCCCATGATTTTTGTAGAATGGGTACGTCAACAAACGACAAGAGGAAGTACCTCGGAAGGAGTAACACTGTTTACGGCTTGTGTCACTTGCTGTTTCAGTTTACGCAACATCCTGAAATCTGTCTTTCTGAACGCAATGCACTGAATTTCGATTTTGAAGAGAGGAAATAAGGAAGGATAGAAACTAACTTATGTTTAATTCATTATAAAATGGAATGACACAATATCTGGGATTTTCAAGCAGTGATTGTAGTATATATCATTATAAGGATGGCTCCTGCACGCTGTGAGCTCTCCTTCCTTACAATATTGATAATTAAAAAAACGAATACCTTTTCTCTTCACCCTAATCATTAAATGAAGGCATCCTTTAATCTACTCCTAATGTTAATCAACTCCAGGTCCTGTTCACCAAATATATACAGTCCACTGATATTCTAATATCAAACTCCCTCCTACCAATAACAGTTCATTTATGCAATAATTATATAAATGTGGACATAAAATACAGAGACTAGGGAAGTCAAGATCATTATGACATTTAGTAAATAAATCGCAGAGAAATAAATAAAGATGTATGTATTTAAAAATGAAAAAAAAGGGGCAAGAGACAAAAGAGTACGAAGAAATCATTAAAAAGAAAAAGTTTCGAAAGCAAAGCATTTCACTTCAATCTCAGGCTTTTTTTTGATGTAAAATTTTTTGATATAAAATTATGCCTTCATACAGAAAACCACTAACAACTATACAAAAGGATAGACTGGACTAGAACATTTTAGCCACTCACGTTAAACATAACCATGTGACGTAATGGCATGTGCTTGTATTACCCTTAGTTTATGCAATAAAAAAATGCCACCAAACCAAGCTAACTCTCCGTTACTTCCCTCATCGCGCCATTTTACGCCTCACCGTCAAATGACATCATAAGCTTTTGATATTGTGGGATCACATTTTCATTCCGGTTGGAACCATTGTCATCCAACACACGGTCTCGATACAGTTACTTGCGTATGTACTGTTCGATTTCTTAGTTTCGACTTGGTATTATTTAGGCTTGATTTCGTCTAGTCTCTGGCTTGCAGCAAAGATTACATGAACATCCACCTGTTTTCACCATCTCTGTTCCAATCTTAATTATCTTCTTGGAGCACAATGTTCTGCAAATGACTTTCAAAAAAAAAACTCGGAACAAAAAGGCTCTGTGAGAATGTACCTTCGTGTGTCATCCGTGGAGGTGAGGTTAGTTATATCGGGAATGACATCAATACTGTCTACAATAAGTCACAGTGAATTGGGATATCAATCAATTAAACAGTTGGGAATAAGGAAAAATCAAATAACCGTAGAACGCTAGTAAACTTTTATAAAACTTCGAACTCGGGCTCCTTCCAATCGAACAAACGCAACAATCTGTGGTTTATTTTCATTTCTGAACTGTCATTGTTGAGATTTCGTAAATTCTCTCCTTTAACGGTTCTTCGTGCGTCTTTTCATATTGAAATTTTTTAGTTAGTTACTTTTGATAATCGACATATTATCAATGGAGAATAGAGTTGAAGTGATTTTTAAATTCAAAAAGTCCGTAAAATAATTTTATATTGTGTATTACTGAAAGTAATCTGGTGTATAATTGGAATGTCTGTCAGAGGTCGGACCTGTGTAGTCGTGTAAGTTTGAAAATTTGAAAAAACTGTAAGCGAAATCGAGATTCAAATGCAGCCTCATGTAGAAAGAAGGGCATTTGTTGAGGGCATTTGAAACTGCCAGTCAATATCTATATCTGCTATTAATCATTAGACAAAACATAGCTGTTATGTTTCTTCAAGCACTGCTTACTGTTCATGCAACTTTCAGATTTTTCTTTCTCTTATAAATAGAAGGGTGAGGTAAGGAATGACAAATGGAATTTAAAAGCGTAGTCATATCCCAGTTCATTATGTTCCTCGAATAAAACAATTGCACTAGCAACTTGGCAAACGTAGAGTATTGCAGCATAGCACGTTGACACTTAAATGAGTGCACTTATCATTATTGCCATTAAAGGACATTCCGACAACATATCATTCAATTCATTACTTAATATTTACGATTATTATTAACTCATGAAAATTTTCAGTGACTGAAACTCTATTCACGTAAGCATACATTAATTTTGGAGGAGCTAGAAACAGAATGGATTATGATTTTTCCACGTTGGGTGCTTTAATCGATTGGTAATCTGTTTCATTGCCATATGCTACCATATTTTCAAATCTCTAAATGAATAAGGACTTTAATGAAATCAAAATCAGTTAAAACGAAATCATGCTAGCCATAATTTTCCATATTTTAGCAGATTCCATCTATTTCATTTTCGATATCAAACACTTCGGCATCATCATCCATTAACAAAGGCTTGATATGACCCTTCATCCGAACTGTGAAACGAGTCGACTCGGGCACTGCCGTTCTATCAATGTTGTAAACCAAATGGTCAGGCCCTTCTTCGTAGCTAAACGTTCGATATGCTAAGATGTCTTGAGTGCACTCCAAGAAGCATAGTTGGGCGCGTGATTCTATATAGATTACATCGCCACGCCTCACAGTTAGGAATTTTTGTCTTTCTCGTTTTGCATAATAACTTTCGATAGTGCCTTCACCCTCCACCACTAACATAATACTACCGCATTCTAAGCTTGGAATGAATACTGGTGGCGCTTTTGCTGTGGCTGATGATGGCGATGATGGCACCTGAAATAGCATGAGAAGACTAATGATGATAGCACCTGATGTAGCATAAGACTTGCCATAATATAACATAATAGAAAATGTTCAAATTAAATATGGACTAATTAGTTTTATATCCAAGTCGAAATAAAATACAGATAAATCGCATGAAAAAAAGATATGCTGCAAAAAGCTATAGAGCTTCTGGATAGAGAAGCTTGAAAACGTATGCATTTTATTCCAATTAATATTAATTAGCTCGTCCTTAATTTTAAACCATTCTTGATCACCCTGATTTTGGATTAATTTCTCCAGCGATGTTTAGAGGATGGCAGCTCTACTTTTAATTCATTTTTTCATTTTCTATTCATTCTGAAGAAATCTTTTGTGCCATAAGGACACTATTCATCCATCACTACAAAAAGGATTTTTCCGAGAAGTTATCGTCCACTTAAATAATAATGAACAAGAAGAAAATTTTGAGAAGGATAAATTTACTTTAATTTCATGAAGTGTAAAGTCCTCGCAATCGGGATCGTAAACACGAATATGTGGGAAATTTTTTAAAACAGCTGGAGATACAATATAATATGACGGATCGGTCATCCGGTAGTTTAGAACTTCGCACAAAGTATCAATATCGATGAATTTTGATGTACATGCTGCTCGAATTGTGTTGTTCGAACAACTAACACATTCTATACATTCTGAAGAACAAATGATCATATCCATCCAGTCAATCAGTAAAATCTATAGGTACACATAAAATTCTATGATGCAAAAATTATATCTGTAAGATAAACGAACCTCCGGAAAGGTAAGCATGAAGTTCTTGAGCGCCATAATAGCAACATTCTCCAGGCGATAAAATAATGTGATTTAGGAGCAGCGGTACAAAACAGCCAATGTCACCGGGGAAATCTCGAGACATTTTCTGAATTACTGCTACCGTCTCTTCATTAAGGGATCCACGTACTGTAGTTGTGTATTTTAAATTTATGTTTTTCGAAAATGGATATTCTGAATACATTTAGAGACAGGCAGGACTATTAAAAATGGTTGAAATTTTTTAACTTATTTTTTTAACAGTATTCAAAATTTCCAAAAAAAATTCTTGCATGGTTCCGATTGTAGATTCCTAAACTATTAATGATCATTTTCTTTTCAAATTATGGTAGGAATCAAGTATTAGCAGAATGAAATAGTGAAAACAGTTGGAACTTGGATTTCCGGAGCAATTTATCCACTGAGTGAAGAAGCCATTTTCAAATTCATTTCGAGGTTTTCAGTTCAATATAAAGTTATCACTGATAGGGATTTCACTTTTATTCTTCCTCAGTATAACTCCAAGAAACTATATCATAAAAAGGATTACTTATTTGGCCAGATCACTATTTCTGAATTCAGAAAAAACAAACTTCCACAAATGAGCTTCGTAAGGACGGAGTCGAGTAACAATTTTACTTCATCGGCGGCGTCTTTGGCATATTTCATAAATTTTTTGAAACATACAGCCAGGGCGGATTTCAGTGTTTCACACTCTTGATCGATTCGAGCTTGTGCCAGTATTTCGAATGCTTGCGCTGTATCCTCACCCATCAGTTGTTTCAGTTCTGGGAAAGCTGCAAAACGCAGTTAAATTTTCAAATATTTTAGATTTCAAACAAAGCTACTAATCTGCTAACAATTTAGTTGACGTAAATGCTAAGAACAAAAAGTAGGTTTTAAACTATTTGAAAAGATGAACCTACGCGAACAAAATTTCCAACTAGAAATTCAAAACTTAAAAACGGGACTAGGACTTTTTAATGATTGAGAAACCTTCAAAATTTGCACAAATTTGATCAGCGGGTCGAAAACCGCATAACAGTTCAAACCGAGTAAGCGCATAAGCAAGCTCTGGTTTATGGTTCCTATCGGGATAATGAACTGGATCACGGTCATTTAGCCGTGCTGCTTGCTCCTACAACAAATTCATTCATGACCGAAAGACGAGAAACTACAATGAGAAATTTGAAACTAACCTGAAGACTACGGAGTAGGAAATTCCGATTGGATTCCACTAATGCAAACTTTTGCAAAGAAACTTATGATCTTTACTCAAAAGAGATTTGAACAAACAAATCTCCCTTACCAATCTCCCTTTTCTTTCTCTAATTTTAGCTTCACTGCTATAACTAAATTTGTTCTCAGTTTAATTTAACTACTAATTCTCTTCAGTTTGAGCTTCATCAAGCATCCGAAGGACAACAAAAGAACGAACCTTTGTTGGATGAACTTGCACAGATAAATTATGCTGTATGCTCATCAGTTTCATAATAAATGGAAGATGCCTTTCAGGCGAAACTTTTCGATGAGTGATGGCTTCATATTCCGCAATATGTTGAGAAAGTTTCTTCTGAGATCGTTGGATCTGACATGGTCCATCCGGATGTGTACCCATCCACAGCTTTAATATTTCATCTTATGTCAACTTATCACCAGCATTAATTGAGACATCTAAATATATGATAGAATGATGAAAATGCAGAAATAAGTAGTTGTGATAAGTCAGACCTCAGCATATGAAGTCCTGTCATCAATGCTTGCATCGGGATTTCCCATAGCATACAGTCGGGCCACTTCACTTGCCATACCTTTTTTACCCCATGCATATGTTTGTACACAACATTTTAACTTCTCCATTTTTGTGCAAATGCTGAAATTCCAACCATTTTACTTTACCAGCAGAGAGCAATCACCGTACGATTTGTTCACAGCATATTTTCCTCTATTTATACAAAAAAAAAAAAAATCCAAAAAGCATAATTAAGAAGCCAAATCTTGTCCACTATACTTCAATCATTTACTTCTTTAATATTAAAAAAAAAAAAAAATCCCAATAACGGTAGTAATCAAGTGGAAAATCCACAAGAAAACAGGACACATTAGTTTCCATTTATGGCACTATAAACTGAGTTTCAAAAACTTCTACAATTATTTAAACCAATAAAAAATCAATTTCTGTAAAATTTAAAAAAGCATGATGAATATATCTCAGATGAAAAATAATGAATCTTTTCTTGAGCAGGAAAATGGAAAAGTGATACAAATTAGTAATGTCTATATTATCCTTTCATTGCTTTAGTTACTGAAAAATCATCTAATATTTGTATCCCGTTGAGATGATTCCTCGGTCTAAGAAAGAATATCGATTAGGATTACAGTGTGACAACAAGAAGTATTAACAATTCCCGCCGTCTCTATACACACCCTGTGGACATCGAAGGCTGAATAATGAATGACTGTCACCTGCACATATAGGACATGTCATTGCTCGAGCATTCATTCATTTTCTAAATTAGATTTTACCTTCCGCGACATTTCCTTTGCTTTAATTGAAATAATGTAATGTGTGTAAATACAATGAAAGATTTGCTATGAGAAATATTAGAAACCGAAAAAGACAGAGCTAATGGACAGCACAAATTTTGCTATTAACAGATATTTGAAAAGATCGGAGCCTATGGACATTTGAGCCTATGGGATTTTGACCGGTTGAAAATCTTATAAAAGTATTTAATTTGTCAGAGAAAGCGGGGAAGGAAGAGATACAAAAAAGTGTCCAATACGAGGTGAAACGGGTAGTGCCGAAAAAACTTGCCACCATTCTTATCGTGACAATCTCCGACAGTCAACGTTAGATGAAATATGAGGGTTAAGAGATGCAAAGCAATGGAATCCTTTTGTCCTCTTGCACCTTACCTCCTTTAATGTTGCGCAATTACCGATTAAGATGGCAGTTTGGAATCTTCAAGATTCCAATTTCAGATCAATTATTAAAATCAAATTGTCACTTTGCAATTAATTACCAAATCGATTGTTTCGAACAACAATAATTTCTGCATTTCGAAATTTTTACGAGAAGTATTTCTTGTTTCAAGAAGAAATTAAGCAAGTGAAATCGCCAGCAAACGTTTCGGAATTTAACGCAATAAATTTGGCACATTTGGTCAAAGTACAGCATTTTAACGTAAAGGAACAGAACTTATTGAGACTCCGCTTATTTCAATAATATAGTTGCTTGAACAGTCAAAAACTTCAAATTTCTAAACCTCAAGCACAAATCCTTCCACTCCCTTCATTCGTTAACATCCTAACTTCAAGTTATATTTCCTTACTTACTCACTGGGTTAAGCTTCTCGAGAAATCAAAAAGCTAGCATATGTTTGAAATGTTTTCGAATAATCTCAAGGGTCCTGAAAATGCTCATTAAAAAAAAAAAATCCTCTGTGATTTTCAACGAAAGTAACTGTCAGTGCATTTTTCCTAAGAGAGATTTCCTAAAATTTTTCTTAAGAGATCATTCAGACTAATTTTGAGAAATTCCAAAAGCTCACCAAAAATAATACTTAGAATATATTTGGGGACAATTATATGATTTTTTCTAAAAAGAATGTAAAAATAATCATGGGAATAATCAGCAATTTCAGAAAGGAAGAACCATTTCAAACCAGTTCATAGTCATATAATGGCTGGAAATTAGGACAGTTTTCATGGTTGTATATATTCGATAGATGGCAGAGTATTATTGTTGGAAATCGACCAACCAGTCAATTTAATGAGAGCATGACGCTCATCTTGCTAATGTAATAATCGACTAATCAAACCGATTTCATGTTCTCTTGTTTAAATGATGGACAATAATGAATCATGACAAAGGTGAAAATGGCTTTAATATCCAATTCTTCTGTACTGTTTATGCATTTTGCTACGTCGAAATTATAGTCATCTGAAAAAATACAGTGGTTTACCATTTCAACTATAGAAACATATATGCCGAACTGTCGTTGTAGGGAGCTGAATTGTGCACAAAATTTATTCACATTGATGTGGAAATTTTTTAACAGACCTTGGTAGTGTCAAAAAAAAATGAATTGACTGGAAAAATAACAAGATGAATTTATTAAAGAAAAGCTATGCATATAAATGTTTAACTGTATTCTGAAAACTAAGACAAATGACGATGTGGATACTATTATGTCAGTGCTTGACTTTTAACAGTAAAGAACAAAAAAAAAAGAAAATGTAAACAGCAATTACGAAGTATTGTTTAGTCGAGATAGGGACGTGGACACCAATCGGGATTTGATATTCTTCTTCGAGCCAAATCTATGGGTTTAACTCCGGATACGTCACGCCGCAGCATGAACTCTCGCACTTTCCACCTCAATGATAATCGTTTTTTCTCACCTGGAGGAGGATTCTCCAGCCAGCCTTTCTTGTATAATTCATATTTTTTCACAGGATCATGTCGAAACTGCACTCCACCAGGAAGTGGGTGCAGAACTGGCCGTATAGCTGGAAATATCGAAGACTAATCACATAAATTTACAGAAAGACTGAAAACTTTTGAGAAGAAAATGAAACAAAAATCGAGTAAATTACCAGGATCCACAGCAATCAGTGCGCTGTCTGTTTTCGCCTCATCGGCATGTTCTATAAAACTGATTAAAAATAAAAATTTATCAAAGTTTTATTTTACTCATTCTTGTGTTTATTTCTTCATTCCCGGTTAAAATTCATGGAAGTTCATTTGGTATATAATAGGTTTAGTTAACAAAAAAAACCGGGGCTAAAAGATGTTTATTACTCAAATAAAAATCTGAAAAAGAAGCGAAATAAGATAAAACCTAGAAAAGCTCATTCAACAAAAACAACCTTCCGCATCATTTATTGTTTGAGTAGAAGCAAAGTTCTGCTTTTCATCAGATGAAAGTGACCTTGCACGACTGCGGTATAAACTTTCCTCGAGACGATTATTCTGAAAATTCATTTACTAAATCTTCTTTCAATCCTACAAACCACTTAATTGCTTGAAATAATTTCAAAAATTACTAGGCCTTGCAAGCGACTGTTATCTTCAGTAATTTGTCGAAGGCAATGATAACCATCATCCAAAATGTTGACTATTTCATTATGATCTAATAATTCGCAGCGCTGTAAAGCCTAATTATGAAATCCTTTTTTAAAGTTACACACAGAAAAACCAAAAAATATCAAAAATTACGACATGTAAGTTGAATATAGCAAACGCTTTCTCTAATTGGCTTTTTTATCACAAATCAATTTCTTCAAAATTTAAAAAGCTTTGCATCAATTTAAAAAAATTTAAAAACCTTTCCACTAACTGATATAGAAGATCGTGCGACATTCCCCTGATTCTTATGAAATTCAAGATTTTCATACGATGGAAAGCGACGATATTGCTCCGCATAAAACAACCCCTCTTTATCATAGCTGCATGGTATGTCTAAGTAAAGAAAGAAAATTATATTTTAATTCCACCAAAAAATCGAATCGACGTTAAAGTTCTGACTTTTTGACCCGAGACCACTTCATATCATTGCAAAGCTTCAGGACAAACATTCCAAAGGATATAGATTCCAAGTATGTTTTCAAAACATACCACAACCAGCGAATTGAGTAGCACTTTTCATTAAAGAGTTGAACGACACATTTTGACCCTGTAACTGTTGCTCGTTTTCCCTTTCTAGTTCATCCAAGAATTGATCCATTTCTACAATCCTTATTCGGTACTTACAAGCAACAATGTCCCGATCCCGATATTGGTCTTTTAAACAAATCTTGCTACTAAACTAAGTGATATAAATTTACCTTTCTTGAAAAATACCAATTCTTCAGGAGAAAGATCATAACCCATGTCGTTTATTGTTGCTAATAACTCCTTTTCCGTGAATGATTCCATGGGAAAACACTACAAAACTTTTCCTACATCTCCAAAATAATATCCGTCAGTGCAGACCTCAAATTTACATTCATTTTCATCTGCTTTTCTGGGAAACTACTGCCATCTCGACAACACAAAGAATTCTACTGCTCAAAAATCCACACCCTTTCAGAAACACTCGTTTACAAAAATGTACAAATAAATTTATATATTTTTTTCCAAGTAATTATACTTATAAATCAACTATTCAAAAAATAAATAAATAAATAAATAAATAACGAAACTTTATTTCCAAAGACGCGACAAATGTACAATGCGAGGTAAAAGATGACATATTCAGTAAGGTTACCGACTAGCAAGAATTTTAGAATACCCGAATCAAAGACTTAACATAGCGGGTTTTATAACTCAAATTAAAAAGAAATAACTGCTTATAAAAGGTTCTTAAAGCACTCAGAATAATCCAAATTCAGACAGAATCTTTCAATTCAGTTTGAAAAATCTTTCTGGATTGCTGACACACAAACTGCCAATGAAATCATGAACGAAAATATCAGTGAGTAATGTTGCTGGTATGTATGCCATTTCGCATGCACCAGCTCTTTCGCCCAGGATGTCGGAAATTATTTAATTTGAACAGAATATTTTAATTTTATGTCTGGAGATGATGCCAAGTTGGATTTATAACTAAATGAAAGAACAGTTGAACGTAAAATATTAACATAATATAATTCCCCACAAAAACACCATAACTACAAATACACATTTAGCCAGTAAATTATATAAATATATTATCAATACGGTATAAAATAAAATTTGATAGAATGTAACTATCTGACAATTATAATGTCTGCATTCCATCTACGAACCTTTGCAATTCAGCATTTGGAGTGAGCATAGAACTAACATCCATTTCTTCAGCTGGCACTTCTTCTTTTACTTCTACACAATTCAGTCCTGATTTGTATCGTAATTTCGATATTTTTACGGTGGCATTGTCATCAATTTCGTATGAAATCAATGCGCATCCAACAACTTGCCCACCATTCAATTTCCCTGTTAGATACCAAATATTTTTCCTTATCGCTGCTGGTCCAATCGTGTTTCCATGACAGTAATACTGTCGATGTAAGATATAATCATAGTCTTGCAGTAAGTGACAAACTTGTCCGAACTGTTGGATACGTCCCGTGATCTGACCGTCTTTTACGAAATATTTCCGTGTTTTCATGTGTGCCGCGAACCTCGAAGTCCAGTACCCTAAAATGTAAAATGTTGCTAGTAATTCGAGTATATTAATTAAATCATTAAAGAAAAGAAAAAATTATGCCTTCCCCTTACATAATTCTATCTTTATTTTATTTATGCATAACACTTTCTAAAAGTCTTGATCCATCGGCTTCAAACAAACCTGGGAATAGAAGAATTTTAATGACAAATGAAGGCAAAACTAGCAATGAAAGTTTCAGTTGGCGGATTGCACTTCATTAATTAACATAACACGCAAAAGACTAAAAAATTCGTACGTTATAGCATGTACCACTCATGTCGCAGTAGATTCACATTTTATACCATGTATACATGGTGCACCCAAATTTTCCAAATTCAAATGTTAACTATCGCTTACCCAAATTATCAGATGTGAGATCCCTTAACCTGACTGCCTTCATATCGACAAGGAAAGAGATCTTTCCTCCTTCTTTCCCAAGGAATATCTTCGGCACTTTTTGACAAACGAATGCATTACTTAAACAGTAGAACTGAATAAAAGGATCAACTCGGTTAACTTGACAGAAATTATTAATTATGTCAAAGACTAAAAAGCCTTTAAAGAAGAATTAACGATACTGGTATCCTAAAAAGTGGAAAAATCACTTTAAAATGATGCACAAAAAAAAAAAACTTCACTTTTCAGGTTCCAGCAAAGTCGATATCGGTATAAGACAAACTGTATTGTAATAAATAAAACTAAATGCTGCACAGTCACTCGTAGATGCCTGTGCTCGTGGTTCCTTTGGTTCTCTTTAAAATTTTTTATTAAGCTAGAAATTCATAAGTGAAGAAATCTGACGCGAAATAACAGGAATTGACAGCAACAGCTAAATAATTGTCTCTTACTAATAATGGAAATTTTTTCTAACTTCTCATAAGAATTACCGCTACAGCGATGGTAAGGTTCAGAGGTCTTATATCACTTTCAGTTATACGAGACAGTGCAAATGACTAATGAAGAACAAAAACTTACTTGAAATATTCGGCCTGACTTTTGCTGCTAAAATTATTTTCCTGATATGCATTAGAACGATTAATCGATGGGGAAGGCCTCGTACTCCCAGCGCATCTGTCTACTTTTTTCTCCTTAAAAATCCTAAGATTATGGCAAGCATTTGAAGAAATATGCGTAACAAATGAAAAGAAATGCAAATATTTCCCCCCAGTTTAGTTACCATTATAGAAGTATCGTGCGAAAGGTCAAGTGTGAAGAAAAATCCGAAAAAAAAGGAACAAATCAAACGAAATCAAATTTACTGGTTATCAAATCAACTGCAAAGGCAAAAAATAAGTAAAGAATAAAACTCACTAAGACATCGCAGGAAGAACCAGATGACCCATTAGTATACACAGCCATATTCTCCGCAGAATACAGTAAACTATTTGGGAATGGAATGCGACTTCGAAAGTCACGAAGTTCATCGTAAAGTGGGGTCACCACATCTGTCACAACACTCCTCACCTCCCTGACCACTTCACGTACCATCTCTTTCACAACTGGTACCATCTGAGAACGTACTTCAGCAGCTACTGCTGACTTCAACTCCTCACTTATGCCAATAGGTGCTACATTTTGACCATTTACAATCTGCGCACTCAGCTGATGGATTGCAAAACCAAAATTTGCCATAAGATTATCTGAAGATGCCGCCCTTTATTTACATAATTCACTGGTGATCATATAAACGTTTTAAAGTCACTCCCTCACGTATTATATTTCTTCCAATTTTGAGAGGGTTTTAAATTAGATTCTTAAAACAGAATTACAATGTAATGGAATATTCAACAGTGAAGAGACAGACAAACTAGTCAACAGTGGGTGTGTAACCCAACATTACCAAGTGATCACATCCTGATCAGGATGACGAGAGTGGACGGAAGACAAGTGTGATCAAGCCAGAATAGAAGCCAATAAGGGTAGTCCCTCCTCATCGTAATAATAGAAGATGTGGTATGAATTGAGAATAGTCTGGAGGGTGGTGGTTACGGGATAGGATCTGAAAAGGGACATTACCTTTGTGGGGTGTCATCTTATCCCAGCCACAGCCATTACTCATCCAACCGTTCTGCGATTTCCGCCAGTTAAATGCCTTCTGAAAATACCTTCTGAAAATAATACTACCCTCATACACGGCATACCGATGCAGCGTATAAACACGCAGATACTACAGTGGTGCACACTCTCACAACATAGCCGAAGTCATGCATTCGTGTACACACACATCCTTTTAGTGCTTCATCCGAGAACAAACAAACACGCCCCACGCTTACCACTGCATAAACTACAACACACACACGAACATATACATACATACATACATACATACATGCATATATGCATACGTACACACATATAGATACATACGCACATACATACATACATTCATTCGCTCATGTACATACACACACACATACATATATACATACATATATACATACACACATACGTGCATACACACATACATACATACACGCATACATACCTACATACAGGCATACATACATATATGCATATATACATATATACATACACATACACACATGTATACATATATACATATACATACACACATGCATACATATATATATATATATATATTATGCATACATATATACATACATGCATACATACATACCCATATACATACATACATCATCAGCGGTACTAAACACTTTACTGGCGGCCAAAATCGATAAGGATATAGTGGGATTTAATGTTTATTGGAAGTGTCTGTGCGAATTGATTAGAGAACAGTTGAGTTTAATTAAGATGGAGAGATAATTGTGGGGGTGATAATTAGTGGAGAGTTATTTGCATAGGTGATAGTGGGTACAAGGCACAAGAGAAATGACATAGCAATAACAGATGGGGACAAAAAAGTCTATTTCAAGAACGCTCCATTCGGCGACATGGAATACTACAATGATAGATGGCTGTCTCTCGTTTTCGTCACTACATTTGCCATAGCTAAGCATATATCTATCTGATAGTTACTGCATTTCACTACGGGAGATATATCTGACAGATAGATGGGCATCCCAATCAAACAAGCAGGAAATCGGTAAATGTCTGTATGCACAGTAGCAGTATAACAACAAATTCCTATATATTGACATTAAATCATTACTTCCGACTCAACACGCCGTAATGCATGGAATAGTTGTATGAGGAAAGCTCTTTATACCACACAAAAATCAAAAGGGAATAAGGTGACACACAAGAAATACAATGACAGCACAACAAACAATATCAGCTAAAAGAAAACTCTTCAAGTGGCTGTATAAAGTATGAAAAGTGAAGTAATAAACAAATTATGACCACTTCTATCGCCCTAAAATTACTTATATATCCCACAGCTTATTTAATCGATGTATGAATAGCGTAATTTAATGCCAGCGAACAGCGTAATTTCAGCAATGGGGCCTTTTCCATGCGATATACCGAGATCAGGGCTCAGAACTGTTGGATTAGTCTTACTTGACCACGAAACAATCTTACTCGACCACAACACAAAAGTCATTGTCATTCTTGTAATTACTGACCGTAGTATATTATAATTGGCTATGCAATATTTTCAGTGTCACGAATTTCTCGATATTAGCTAGATCTACACTCCTGCATGATAAATATAATCGAATCGATTACCATTTTACAAACACACGATCAGTTCATGATGCTTTAAACTGTTACAAGTGAAAATGTTTAATTACTTAACACGTTAAGCAGCAAGTCACTATATAGACTAGAACGATTTACCGTCCTCTCATGTAGCAAAGTATGTGTCATGTGTTGATCTTCATATATACTTAAAAAATGAAACAAAATCTTCCTACTTTAAATAATCATCATAAACAATTTCCTCAAGTACAGATTTGCTATGCAGATCCAAAGGTGCGATGTCGAAAAATATCATCAGATGATCCCCGCGTCTTTGAGTATGCAGTGCCGACAGAACCGTCTCATTGCCGAATATTTTATTCACACTTCGGCCACCAACGCGACTCTACAACGTTCATTAAAAGATCCGGATCTTAGTAAATTTCTTAAAAATTTTCATTCTGAAAAAATAGAACTTTTGAAAAAAAATGAAAGTTTTGAAAAACTTTTGGAACGGAACTTTTGCTTCGGAAGACTTTTAACAAATAGTCATCCAATAAAAATGAATGCTTAATAAACAATATCGACAAATAATGTATTCCTATATGCTGTGTAAAACATAAGTATACAAAAGTCGTTGAAAAGAAAAGAAAATTCTTTTTTAAAACCTTACATAGACATAAAAATGTTCGGGTCGCTGTACAACACTTGCACAGGACTGCTGTATTGAAGAGGAAGTAATAGTATTTTCAATAGAAAAATCCTTTGACCCCTCAGATGAATTTTTCTGTTGCCTTTCTCGATACTCGGCACTACACACTTGATATAGGAATTCACCAAGATGTTCCACTGCAAGTGAAAAGGAACCAGAAAGTATGGGAGTATCGCCACTGTTCAGTTTGTCTAGTAAACGAAGGTTGGCTTAACAAACAAGCTCTCATGAAAGATGTCATAACTTTGACGTAAAACGAAAAAAAAAAAACAGATAATTGTTCAATTAAACTTTCAACGATCAAAAAGATACTGGTAGTATCCTCTCTTGTTCGAATATAACGTCGATTTAATAACGATGACGCCACGCTCGGCCGTTTGAATAGTGATTTTGCAGGTAACAACTCGGCTTCAATCTCAATAAATTCACCATCTGTACGTGTAACCGCAAAATCAATATCTTCATCCAGCTGGAAATTTTTACATTACCAAACAAATTGTTTTGATAAAAGTAACAAAACTAGATCAAGCATGGGATGTGAAACGCAAATAATAAGCAACATAAAATAATCTGAAGCTATTTAAAACGCAGAATGTATACAAAACTTACTCGTCTTTCCAGTTGTTCGCCCATCCCTTCATCAGGAGTTAAAGGTGATGACGGATTTTCAGCAAGCCATTTGTGCATGCGATCTTTTAGTGTACATGCATTAAGTGGTGGTACAAGAGGATGACCATCCTGGATAAATCTTTCATAGTGAAGTTCCAAAACATTTCACACAGCATATTCAACATATCTCACAATATCTTTCCCTGATGATCCTTGGTGGACATTACTTACCACATTGGCAATAGAATTTGGTAGCGTAGGAGCCGAAATACTGCTTGACGAGTCAGACGTATCCGTCGTATCAGACGTATTAGTGGTCGAAGAGAGAGAATCAGAATCTAAAATAATTAGATATTACTTCATACTCATTTGTGTTTTATTTTTCACATAAATATTTTTTCGCTATGCAACAAAGAAAAACCTGTATTGCTGCTTGAAATATCTCGATGCGAATGAGCTCGTGAACTAATCCTGCCATTAGCTGCTACAAAAAAGCTTAATTATTGCTGTAATCTTCTTCAGAAATCTTATAAGCAGAATATATCATGCTAGTGTTCCAATTTTCCAAAATCCTTTCAGAAAAGTGATGTTGACCGAAAAGAATGCTCTCCTAATCCTCTAATGACTTGAGTCAAAATTTAGCAAGTCTATTTCCTCCCATAGTAAAAAACCGAAAAGTTACAATTTCAGTAAGAAACTGACCACTGACAAGGTTGACAATACTGCTAGCAGAGGTATGTGCCCCAGAAACCGATTCATCGTGTCTGAATAAATGATTTTAAAATAAGGAAAAAATAATATGGTACCAACAGCCAAAAGAGTTGAACCTTGCATGCAAATCGTTCTCATCGCCTTCACCACTGCCTTCTGGCGAATTACTATCAGGAGAATTATAGTAAGAACGGTCATGAACATCACTGCGAGGGCGCCGTTTTCTTTCTGAAGCAAAATTGCTGATTTTGAAAAATATTTTAAATATAAGTGTATTCAAAATAATGGGCTGCTCTGAAACGAACTTTCATAGTCATATGAGCCTTGTACACGCTGGCGGCGATTAGCAGCTTGCGCTTTCATGCCTGCTTCAATACTCTTTTGTAATGCTTCTACGTTACTCTGTTGATGAAACATTTCCATTGCTTTCTGTTGCATTTGTTCATAAATTTGTCGATCTGGCCAAATCTTCAATGATAAATCTATAGTAGTGCAAATGATCAAAGAAAAAATTAAAAGATCCAAGCTATATGGAACAAAAATTTCAAACAGTTCTTTAATACAAAATGTATGAAACAACAGCCAACTTTATTGATTAATGCATCAAAGTTCGGGTCAGGACGAAGCGATCGTTTAGACACTAATTTTTTCCGACACGTAGGACATTCCTTGTTACCTCGGAGTAACGCAGTCGTGATACATTCGCTGCAAAATCGATGCAAACATTCCTGCAAATTATCCAATACGATAGATTATACAAGTTAAAGAAATTCAAAATTCCTAAATGTTTCGAAATGTTGTAAACCACGATGAAAGCTATGATACAAAGCAGCTTTGCATTAATTATTAGTTTAAATGAAACTACCAAAATTTTCAGAAACTGAAGTAGTTTAAATACTCCAAGCTTAAATCAAAATATGACTTTTGTTGTCATCGTTGTTGTCAACAAATCTAGACATATTGGACAACATAATTCAGATGAAAGCATTCGCGTACTGATTCGTATTTCCGTTAAATCCGAAATGGCTTTATGTGGACGTCGGTACTGCAAATGGAAAAGAGAACTGGATAAAATTTTCCAAACAAATTAATGGGAAACGAAGCTAATATTTTTTTGCGTCGAACTATTAGGAAATATATTTCTCTGAGTGGTATTGAAGGTGCTACCTGTTAAACAAAGTCGCTAGATAACAAATGAAAAGTGAAGGAAATAATTTTTAGATTCACAATCAATTAATTCTGATTCAGCTGTTTTTGATCGTTTGTGTGCAACTAAACCTTGTCTCATCCTTTCTATTCATGAGATTCAGATATAAGTGAAAGTAAAATAAGACGATACCCGGTCATATTCGGTGAGTTCAAGAGTTTTTCCGCCAGTTACTGTATCAGGTGCACTGCCGTTATTCATAGTTGATGGCGGTGATGTATTCCGCAACAAAGTTGCTCAATCCATGCAGTTAATGAACTGATATCTACAAGGACAAAAGACTTTTAACAGAATTCAGTAGTTTAACTTCCTCTTTCATCCTGCCCTGATGATAGAAAAAAAAATTTTTTTGGGGTTGTCAGAGGCCATGGTGCTACCGCCGTCACAACTGCAAAAGTATAAGTTCCATTTGAAAAGAGTATGAGGATTGTTGAGTTTCTCTAAAAATTTTAGAACTTAGCACAGAGCAACAAAAAAAGTCCTCGGTCCAGCTGGACCACCGACAGAAAGTTCCATCATATTCCACAGAACGTCAACCAACCATTTTCCCACCTCAATACACATCCAACCGTGCATTTTTACTGAACCCGACCACTCATTCTGACCCATTAAATAACAAAACGGTAACGTTCTTCCTTGTGTCTGTGAACTACATCGGGTTGTCCACTCCGTCACAAAGTCATCCCTACTGAGATAATGCCAAAGACACGTTCCACACCACAAGCGATTAACCCTAAGCTGTCTCCTAATGACACCTGAAGGAGTAGTAGGCTTGGGCACGCGATGCAACTAACGGTGCGAATACCTCCGCGGAGGTACTGTATCTCGGCGTATGCTGAGGACGCGTTGTTATCGTCATTTTCTTTTTTTTTTGAAATTTTACGTAATGATCCGTGTTTTTAAGATGTTTAACAGTATCACCTGATTTTATACTTATTATTATTAATATATGACGACTGGTTTTTGATGCGATACTTTCTAGCAATTAATACTTCTACCAGATACTTCTATCAGGTTATCGTTACATCTTGGTGCAGGAAGAGATGATTTTAGCGCAAAAATACTGCTCAAAGCTTTAGGTAAGCAAAGAAAAGATTCCGGCATGTTTACTTTCATATACTTTATAGTTGAAGCGAATGGCAACAAATGTAAAAATACAAATAGGTTTGACGGATAATATTTTTGGGAATTCGAAGATTGCGCGACTTTCGAAAGGTGGTATATATTGATGGGGGTTCTGTTCGAATAATCCTAGTGAAACATTGAAGGGAGTGTCTACAAATTCCTCATCTGATCGTCTGATCACTTTTTCATTTGTTTTTTAAGTTTTCAAATGTTGAATTCTGTTCAACAGTTTCACAGAGACGCATGAAGACATTCCGTTTCAGCAGCATTATCACCATCTGATGTACGTTAGTCGTCATCGTGAAGGGTGAAGCTGATATTCGGGATCGAAGCATTTTTTGTTTTCACTTTTTGGTTTTGTCGCAATGAGATCGAACGAGCCAACCAACAAGAAAGAGGAAGTGGAGGAAGTAGTAAAAGCGACGAAAAGAGATGAAACGAAGAAAAATGATTCAGATGACAAGAAGAACAAAGAGAAGGTTTCTACTGATCATTTATTTCAGATCATTTATTGACAAATCTGGATACCAATGTTTGGAATCGCTGCACATGCACGCTCTCTCATACGACTTGCGAATTATTGCCATCGAATTTTCATTCTACTTTTGCACCTTCCACCATTATTCGCACGAAATGTAGTTGCAAGAGGAACTGCTACTGAGTTTCAGAATTTTCCCCCTATTATTGCAAATAGGTTAAATACGCTGTGGGACACTACTCGCACCATTTTGCGTCGATGTTATTTGTATTAAAGCATTCTTCAAAAACATTTTCAAATAAATTATGTTTACAGCGTCGAGATTCCGTAACAGGTTCAACTCTGGATACAAGTTCATCATCAAACAGTTCTGTTGATTCGGATGAAGTTGACGCGACGGAACACAATGATTCGAAAAGTACAATGATTTCCGAAAAATTAAAACTGCAAGTGGATAGGTGACTTTACACATTGGATTCTGCATTGTAATATTTCACTGAAGTCGTCAGAATATTTGCCTGACAGTGGGCTAGAGAGCTCATGATGTGAAATGCTTCGTTCTCTTCATACATTGGTTAGACCATTAACTGTTTGAATTATTTGGTCATAGCTTATGGAGGTGTGCTACGAAACGTTTTCTCGACAGTGCGAAACTTCTGAATGAAAAAAAAAAAATCATTTCAATTTATTTGTGGCTGGAAGCAGAGTGATTGAGGCAGACAGTGCTCCAGTAAAATTTCATATTATCAAAGTTTGCTTTCAGATTTGTATTTTCACGCTTTTTAAAATTTAAGTCATAAAGTTGATGATTCTGTCAGCAAAGCGATGAATAGAGTCTCGACAATTTCAAATGCGGAGTCAGGTAAAGTACCTAAATCAGTTGTCGAATTCAACAATGACAGAAAGAATAAGCAGCTAATGAACATGGATAATGCTGCAGATGAACGGAATGGTTTGTTTTCCATGGGTGCAAGTATTAATACTAGAATTTAGCTCCGAGTGAAGTTGCAGTTTTGTAAACGAGTGACCTAAAAGCGCTGAAAAGTTTCAAGTGATTCCAATCATGTTAGCAGTAAAGTAATATTGAAAATCTCATTGTTTTACTAGGCCCAGACAGCAGTGCAAAGAAGTCAAGGAAGCGCAATCGGAAGCAAGGTAGAAAAGTGAGTAATTTATTTTGCTTTTATTTTTTAAGAAGAAAATTGGACCCTTTGCTTGTTCTTTCTTTCCGTCTTCCATAAACACAGACGATATGATGCATCCATTTCCAATGAGAAATTTATTTCAACACTGTTAACCAGTCGTTTAAGGCTTAATTTAAATTCATTTGATTATCCAAAAAATTTTTTTCAGAACAAACGGGATATCCTGTCCGATCAAAATGAAAGGAATCTTTTATGCGCCGTCGATGAAAGCACAAAAAGAGGAACATTAGGGGTTGGTTATTGGCTGTGTTTTGCAAGTTCTAACTCCAACGATTTCACAAGAAATTCAAAGATCTCGCATATATTTTAGGAAATTCATCTTGGAAACCAAGTTTTATTACTGATTTGTCAAGAGAATTGGAAATAATCAGTTATCACTAATCTCGTACATTGTAAACAATGATTTTAGTCCACTCTTGATTTAATGAGTACTTCCCAAGTTTAGTTACAATGACTGAAGAATATCAGAATTGTACTGCATACGAGATATAAGATGATTGTTGATTTTGCTGAAATACGCAGTATTTTTGTTTGTTATATGCAGAATTCTATCTCATTCATAATTATTATATTGAAAAAATACCCGAAAAATCATTAATTACCATTTCATTTTTTCATATTTTTAAATAAAAAGTATTTTGTAATTTTCATAAATACCTTAACTTTGCGAAATAATTTTAGGCACCGAAAGATGGTGTTATGGCCATTTGCCCAAAACTGGGATCTTGGTTTGATTTTATCTTCATTTGCTCGATTTTTGCAAAAGCTTCTTTATATCCGGAAAGTTAACCCCATTCTTAATAAGCGACATTCTGACTGGTTGCTAGATTCGGAATTTTCAGGACGACAAAAAATGAAGTTATAAACATTGATGGAATGGAGACATCGAATTTGTTGTATATGACTGACACTAGTAATAAGGTAGGTTGATATTCAGGACACAGTACATATATTGAAATTATAGGACTTTTTGGTAGTCTGCCATTTTTCTGCCATGCTGAATTTTTTCAGTAATCAATTTTATTAGTGAAATATCATACGCTAGTGATAACGAGGACAACTTCGTCTTGAAATCTTTTCTTGTAATTCTCGTCATCCATTTCTATTACTTACATCACAGTATACTATGCACGGCAATGGTGCTTTGATAGCTTACTGAAACTATTTCTAGACACAGCCAGGAGTTCGGATTTTATGAGGTTACACTCTACCAAATAAGGGAAACGAAACCTCCATAAAATCAAGCATATTTGCACATCATCAAATATGTACTATCTTTGTTGTGCTTAATACGAATTTTGAAGTCATTTGCTGCTTCAGTTATTTTTCCACAAGTGTCTTTAATTGCATTTCCAGAACATCATTTTAAGTTTCAGTTTGCCCAGCGTTTCACTCACTGGATACGGAAGTTTTATATCGCAACTGTTGATGGTGATATCGAGGAATTTATGATTATGTTCACCTGCATTTTGCAAATTTTAAAGAATACTGGTAGTGAATATTGTAAGCGTTTGTCTGGATATCAGTTGAAGGAGCATGTGATGAACGTTAGTGATAATCTTGATAATTAATATGCGGGTTCAGATAGAATCATGTAGAGCTGTGTTCGTGCTTATAACTTTATGCAGCACTTACTTGATTGACTGAATACAGACATGAATGGAAGCCTATATAATTTTAATCTTATCTCACGGTATTAATAGTAAAGTCATCAAAGAACGAAACTTCTGCTTTGATAAGTCAGACCACTAGACTAAAGCTGGTATATGGGTACGAAGCTTTGTAGCATTTACTATATGTATTCATTGCTCTTCCAGTGAAACATTTTTTATTCAGTATCGCAAATTTGTTTTAAATTTATTTTCCGACGAAATCAAGGAATACAAATGTTTAATTTTTCAGAATGTTGTCTGTGTATTCTTCAACAAATCAGAAAACACATCTATTTTACATCTTCTTGCACCAACAAAAAATACCGACCGTCCATGTAGTTTGAGAAACCATGGTTACTGCAGGTTTAAATCATTTTCCAATTTCCTTAACAATGTTTTCAAAGTAAGGCAGTTTGTTCCTTGCCATAGTTTTTAGTGGCTGAAACCAGTTTATTTTAAAAGTTTTTATAGCGAAGCATGGAAAATAGGTTCCATAGTTAGTTTTTGTACTACATCTTACCGCTTGACGCTTGATGGTAAAAAAATGGTCATCACTTACAAGTGGTGCTAATTTTACTCTTGTCTAGTGAGGATATCCGATCTAATTTTTCGAATTATGTTACCGTATAAAGATGAAATTGATTTTTACGAATCTCTTTCAGATTGATTAAAATAATTTTGAATATGTTACCGTGGAAAAGTCGGAGAATTTTACTTGCTACATCCACAAAAAGGACAGGAAAAACTGCCTTACATTTGGCAGCTGCTACAGGGCAGCCATGTCAAATGCAAGCTTTGATGGATTTTGGTATGCACTTCGTCCAAATGAATTTGCTGCAAGTACTTGTTTATTATAAGTGGCGCAGAGAATAGGATGGGAAAATCTTTTTCATCTTCCAGAATACAAGCCTTTGGAAGTAGACAACACTTTATAAACTGTTTTAAAGTGGAAAGGATCGTTTTGTTGATTTTCTGAATGTTTATTGACTCAGTGATATCATGCGACGAATAGCATTTGAAAGTTGGATAACAACTCTTGAAATATTGGCGATAATTCTTCAGGAGCCTGGCCAGATTTCTTTGATCATTCTGGACGTGCACCAATACACTACGCAGTTATGAGGAATAATTTAGAAATGGTACGTTTCGTGTCGATGACGTAGCAAAAGTTTTTCCATCTTAATTATCTAAAATAATTTTATGGGTTTTTCCTTCAATTTTAGTGGCATTATGATTTTTAAGTAGTGCATTTCATCTTTTTTTCAAAACTCTAAAAGTCTATTGTAGAATAACAAATAGCTTAAAATAAAAAGTTATGCCCGACTAAAATTGTTATAAACTGTTTCACAGCGAGGAAATTTATTCGTATTTGTTGGAAGAGAATGAGTAGCTTCATTGCAGGTGAAACTGCTTTTGTGGTATGGAGCGGATATATCATTAAGAGAGCGTTCGGCGACACCACTTCAACTTGCAGGCTATTTACCAACAACTACATTGGTATGTTTCGTTTCATAGGTTATGCTTGAATTCTGTTTATTGGAATTTTATGATGGAATAATATTAAAGAATGGAAGATAGAAAAGATAATTAGCGATTCCAGATATGTGAGTACCTACATGCACGAGTTAATGCATTGGAAAAAATATTTATGCAATGGATCAGGAAATATGTGAGGGGTGTTTGGACACCCGTATGTGCTATTTCCGATTTGCATTTTGCAAGGTTGTCAAAAGCATGTGATTCAAGAAGAGATGCATCTCGGAATTTTACAACCAAAAATGTGAGTTTTATTTGAAATTCATTTTTCCAACACTTATCAATAAACTGACTTTTTCCAACACACTTTTTTATTCGCCACTGCTTAGTCGTAGTTTCTAGTATATTATTTTACATAAATGAATCTCAGGTCGAATACAATGGCATTTTCAAGTTAGTATGCAATAATCTTATATATAAATGCTGTATGACACTTTAGGGATCTAAGTTCACTATTTTTTCTAATTAACACACTTTTTCAATATATTAAACTCATCGTTTTGTCTAATCAACAGGTTTTTTAGCGTAAAATTCATATAAATATTTCGGGGACGCGCAATGCCAACCCGCAGCTCATGAAATGTCCACTAATGGTAAGTCTTCTTGGACTGAACGTTAAAAAACTTCATGTGTATTTTCGATACACATGCTTAGATAATAATTGTTTTACACTGTCTGTTTAGTAATTTAAGGCAAATCTTTTTAGTTACTTTTCATTGTACCAACGTTCTATAAGAGGGAAGACAGAATAGCAGATGCTTCCAATCCACAGATATTCTGTGCAAAACTGCAAAATGTAAATGGCTTTGTTGTTAAATTACTTCCATCAAATCCACTGTAAGCTATTTACTATTTGTTTTTTCTCAGTCAGGATATTCAGTTATGCAATCTTAGAAACTAATTCATTTTGTTATGCTTTTATCGAATTATCAGTTTTATTTTCCAATTCACATAATATTCTAAATGTTTAAGGAAATATTGCAGAAGTTACACCAGTTTATGATTGCAAAATTATTTTTATCTTCATTTTCAATCATTAGTCGATGTTTCAGACTAAGTTGTTCAAAATGGAGTATTGGCATCAGATCAGCCCTTGAAAAACCTCATAATGGGTATTTTTACGTATATAAACTGCCAGAAAATATTGAAATCGGTAAGTTACATTGTAAAAGTGTGTCATTTTTCTGGAGCATGTGAAGTTCTAAATTGAAATTCGTAATTTTCTAGATTCATACGCACTCCACTTGATGGTAGAATTAGAAGAGCTACGTTTTCAAGCTCCTCACATAACGCTCGCAATACAGGCTTTTGCATGTGGTCCACCAGACTTAGAGCATTATAACGAACTACGAGGCCTCGTAACTCATTCAAACAATAAGGCGAAAATGGACTGAAGTTTATATATATATATATATATATATATATATATATATATATATATATATATATATATATATATATATAT